CTTGTCCTGTCCAAACAGCTCCTGCTCAAAACTCTGTCCCCAGGCTTCTTCTAGACCCCCTTGAAGCACTGCAAGGCCACCAGGTCTCCCTGGAGCCTTCTCTTCTCCAGCTGAACAGCCCCAGCTCTCCCAGCCTGGTCGGCTGGGGATGGGTGGTGGTGGGAGTCCCTCTTGCACCTCTGGGCAATTCAGGTTGGCTGCTTTTTCCTGAGGGAGTGAACAGCCCCAGCTCTCCCAGCCTGGTTGGCTGGGGATGGGTGGTAGTGGGAGTCCCTCTTGCACCTCTGGGCGTTTCATGTTGGCTGCTTTTTCCTGAGGGAATAAAATACTTTCTGATGTGATCTATGGCACTGGGGCCGAGCCAGATGTCCGTGTGGATTCAGTCTGTAGTGCCCAGGGAGGAGAGCCTGGTTACTCTCTCTGATTAGCATCACCAAGCATTGCACATATGAAGAGGAAAACCAGGCTGGGGCTGCTGCTCCCAGTGCTGTTAGTCACTGCCTCACATCTGCCTCGCTGCAGGGACTTCACATGCCCTATGAGAGCTCCCTCCAGGTCCCTGGGTGCCCTCCCAGCTGTGCCTGCTCGTGCTCCAGCTGCCCTCTCCCCATGGTGGGCATGCCCAGGGGGTCTCAGGGGTTTGTCCAAGCCCGGGGTGCTGAGTCGGGCTGGAGGGGCCCTTGGGGCCTTTCCCTGCCCGCAGCGTTTCGGTGCCAGCCCCGGGCAGGGAGGGGCTGGGGGGGAGATGGAGCTCTGCTGGTGTTGGCTGAGGGATGAGATAACCCTGGGGCTGCCTTCTGCTCTCCTCCAGAAAGCTGCAGTATTTCTGCTGACATGGGGATTTTTTTTTTTTCCCTATGTCCTGAGGTTATTTTTTTTTTAAAATGTGGAAATCAGAATAAAACTGGGAGGAGGAGAAGCCAACCCCCACAAGAGTTCACTGCAGCTGAACCTTCCCTTGACGTCTGGAGCCTGCTAGGCATGGGATCAAGAGCTCCTCCAGAAATGTGCCTGCTCAGTGTAGGTAATGGCAGGGGAGCCTGAGGAACCTGAGGAGCTGCTCCTGGCATCTGCACCTTCCTCCTGCAGCAGACTGCCTCTGCCCAGCAGGACAGTGAGGGCAGGAGCTGTGGAGAACAGGCTGGTTTCCCCCAGTATACAGACAGCTCTGCTTGCTTCTGGTATCACATTTTGTCATTAGTTGTCTAGAATGAGGGTTATTTCCAAAATAGTTAAGATACAAGGCAGAGGAGGCAGCAGGTTTTGCCTTGGCCAGAGCAGAGTGTGATGTGCCCACCCTGTCTCACTCTCCACGGGAGAGTCATGCTGAGCATTGGGAGACCTGGGCACCATCAGGGCTTCAGCTGGTGCTGTCCATGGCCAGGGTTTGCTGGAGATCACCCTCACCTTGCCCTGCACCCGTGGCTGTACAAAGCTGGGTGTATTGAGGAGCGTTCTCCTTGCCAGCCCAGAAGTGTTGGGGTTTGGCAGCCTGTGGATGCCACCCTGCAGACATCCTGCCAGAGCCTGGCCCAGCCTCACTGCGTGGCCCTGGGGACCAAGGGCGACCTGGAGCTCCTTGTGCAGAGTTGTCCTGTAGCAGCTGGAGGTACTGGGGCTCCCCTGCTCCCCATGGGCAGGCAGAACTGCACCCGCTGCTCGGGAGGGCAGCCAGGCACAGGCAGCAGGGGTGGTGCCTTCAGAGGCACTGCTTTCCATTTTGAGGGGGAAAATCTCCTCTTTTTGAGAGAGAAATCTCCTCTTCTGGAGGAGATTTCAGCCTCTTCTCCCAAGGAACAAGGACAAGAGGAAATGGCCTCAAGTTGCCCCAGGGGAGGTTGAGGTTGGACCTGAGGAACAATTTCTTCTGCAAAAGGGTTGTCCAGGGCTGTGCCAGGCTGCCCAGGGCAGTGGTGGAGTCCCCATCCCTGGAGGGGTTTCCAAGCCGTGGAGATGTGGGGTGAGGGACACGGGGCAGTGGGGACCTGGCAGGGCTGGGGAATGGTTGGGCTGGATGATCTTAAAGCTCTCTTCCAGCCAAAATGACTCTGTGGTTCTGTGAATGTGCTGGGCTGGGTCTGCAGTTCCCTCAGCAGGAGCAGGGGGCATTGCTCACTGCTCTGCTTTCAGCAGGTCTCAGTGTGTGCATCCCATCCCCTCTGTACCAGACACACATCCCCTGGACTGGCTTCTCTGGGCTCTCTGCTGCTGGCCCCTCCAGAGCAGTGGCACTCACTGGGGATCCACAAGCTCTGCAATGAAACCTGTGCCTCTGGAAGGTCCACTGATGCCTGGGGTGGTGCTGGGTCAGTGCTGTGGTGCTGCCCCCCAGCATCTGTGTCCAAAACATCTCCTACTGCTGCAATAGATTGTGCTGAACCTGACAGAGGCTCCTGGAAGCCACCATCCCTCCTGGGGCTCTGCAGTGGGTGCAGGTACCCCCTGCTCTGCCCTTCAGAGAGTCACCTGTGTTCCTTGGTGCCATGGGCACAACGTGGGCTCTGCTTCCTTCCCTGTCTCTCCAGCTGAACAGCTGCATTCAGTTGTTCAAGTTCTCTGTGCACAGACTGGTGTAGTTACTGATTTGCTTTATTCTGACCTGACAAAGGATGTGATCCTGCCCCTCTGCCAGCTCTGTGAGACCCCCCTGCAGTGCTGGGGCAGCTCTGGAGTCCTCAGCACAGCAGAGCCAGGGAGCTGCTGGAGCGGGGCCAGAGGAGCCCCAGCAATGCCCCGAGGGGGGAACCCCTCTGCTGGGAGCCCAGCAGGAGAGAGTTGGGCTGGGGCAGCTGAGAGGAGAAGGCTCCAGCTGGGGAGACCTGCTGGGGGCTGCCAGGGCGTCAAGGGGCTGTCAGAAAGCTGGGGAGGGACTTTTGAGCAGGGCCTGTTGGGACAGGACAGGAGGTGATGGTTTTGGACTAGAAGAGGGGAGATTAGGCTAGATAGAAGAAAAATTTCTGATGCTGAGGGTGGCCCAGGCTGCCCAGAGAGGTGGTCACTGCCCCATCCCTGGAACCATCCCAGGGGAGGTTGGGGCTCTGAGCACCCTGCTCTAGCTGCAGATGTCCCTGTTCATGGCAGGGGGTTGGATGAGATGAGCTTCCAAGGTCCCTTCCCACCCAAACCAGTCTTAGTTTCAATGATTCTAAGCTGTGTCCAGCTTACTAGCAGGGGAGGAGGAGGAGCAGTGCTGGTAGGGCTGGGGCTGGGTTATCTCTCTGCCTCCTGCCAGATCCAGCAGGGTACAACCCCCAGTAATCTCATTTTGGTCACGTACTGAGTCCTGTTCTAACAGCCACAGGCAAGCAGACGTGTGTGTGAGGAAACTCCACTTACTCCTCAAGTTCTTTGACCTCCTATCACCCTAAAATTTGCATAGCTCTTCCAGCCCTGTCCACGCAGCTCCAGGGTGTGGTGGGATGCAGCGTAACTGGTGTGCCTGCCACGGGGGCTGGGGGCCCTCTGATAACATCCAGGAAGCTGTCCCTTGGGAGCAGTGGGGGAAATGTGGGGTTTTATTTCTTGTAAAGATAATTCAGCACCACTGAGCTGAAAATGTTGAGCCTGGTCTGTCCTTCCAGCACTGCTGCCTTCCCCTCACAGCCAGGAAGGAGACGCTGTGAAGACTCAGAAGTGGTGGTGCAGGTGTTAGTGAGAGCTCTGAGAAATCCCTGGCACACAGTTCTGACGTTCAATTTGGGAAGTTAGGGGTGTTGCTTTTGTTGTTTTATTGCTTTGTTACAGAAGAATCAGCCCCAGAATGGTGGTGTCTGGATGAAATCCATTCCCAGGGTGACGGATGCTCTGTGTTACTGCTAATGCTCTTTTTTTTTTATAACTAAACTTATTTGCAGTCTCCATGCATTAAATCAAGTTTGTAAACAAGGTAAACAGGGGTGACAGCCAGTGTCTTACAAAATGAGCCTTAGGAGGAGGAGGATCTCATTTGGCTGATGACAAAGGCTTTGTAATTTAGGATAATGTAGGTCATTGCTCCGGGCTGGAAGCGAAGCACTTCTAATATCAATTAGCTCTTATGGGAACAGCAGATGTTCAGAATTTGGGGGTTTTGGTCTCTCAGTCCTTCCCAGGAGCAGTAGACCCTGCAGGTAGTGCAGCAGCCCCAGGGGGGCCGTGGCTGGTGTTGGGGTGGGTGGTTGGCCTTGCTCTGGGGGACACTTTCCTGCCCTCCCTGGCTGTGCCGGGGGCCACCCCACCTCTGCTGGTGTTCCTCACAGCACGTGTGAGACAGCCTGTCCTTGTTCCTCTGCTGGTGTTGCCTTTCCAGTGACCTTTCAGACAAAGCACTGGTGGGGCTGGCAGGGGTGGGCTGATG